GTTGTGCCAGTCTCTTTTGTACACATAATTCTGGTTTTTCAAAATGTATGGCTATTGCCTCGGCAATGCAAAGGAGATGTAGTCTAATTATCTTAGGAAGGCTTCTACTTACCTTGTAGATGACTTTGAACGCAGAGTCTGTCTTGATTGAGTGACCTGTGTTCACAAGGTGTTCGATTATAGAACTTCTTATTGAACCGCTGCCTCCTCTTCTTAGCCACGCCGGACAATGTTCTTGAATTCTTTTGGATAAAGTACGCATCGAACGACCTATATACCTAGCTCCACAAGAGCAGGTAAATTGGTAAATGCACATTGAATTGGTCAGATGCGATAATTTATCTTTCAGATTACTGGCGAACAATGATCGGCTGGAGAATAATATTCGCAATGTTGCTGCGAAAAATGTTCTTTTTAAAGAATCTGAAATTCTCCTTTTTAAGATATGTGCGGCTCTATCGCCTTTGAAGTCGATGTTCATGTATAGAATTTTCTTTTCTACTGCAGTGGTTTGTGGTCTTGGCATTTTCGGTTTCATGTTCTTATCAACGAATATAGAAGGATATCCGTTTTTGATAAGTATCTCTTTTAAAAAACTCAATTCTTCCTCTACGACCTCAGGGCTACAGATTCTTCGTATTCTTGTGGCGAGAGTGATTATTAAGTTTCTTTTTCGGCTGATGGGAACCCAACTGTGGAAATTTGATAGTTGGCCATTCCATATGGGTTTTCTGTAGATAGATCTTTTTAAAGTACCATCTTGTTTCCTTGTTATATCTACATCAAGGAAGTGAATATTATGTTTGTTTTCAACTTCAATTGTGAATTTTATTGATGGGTGACAATTATTAAATGTATTTAGGAGATCAATTAAGTTACATTTGTTATCACAAATGATAAAGATATCATCCATATACCTTTTATATAAGTGGAGGCTTTCTATAATTCTTTTAAGTTGGTTGTTTTCTAAACTGGCCATGAAGCAATCTGCCAGTAATGGACCAAGTGGGGATCCCATTGCTATACCATCCTTCTGTCTATAAATTACGTCGTTGAATGTGAACTGTACATTGCAAGTACAACGTAGTAATAATTCCTTCAAATAAACCTCAGGTATCCCAATGTTTATCTCAGTATTGTTTATGTACTTGCAGATAAAATTAATGGTTTCTGTAAGTGGGACATTAGTGAATAATGATTCCACATCCAGAGATAGCATAATTTTGCCACTTACATTCACCTCTTTTATGTGCTCGATAAATTCAAAAGTATCGCGTACAGAATGTTTACAAATGAGTTTTCTAACGGGTTCTAAGAGATTCGCCAACCACTTTGCTATAGGGTGGTAAGGTTTGTTTTTATTTCAACGATCATTCCGATTACATTTCATCTCTGTTTCAACATTTTATGTTATTTTATCATGCTGAGCTTCTCTTACCCGATGACTATCTAAGCCATTATCTATTAAACTTTCCTTGTTTTTAAAAAAAGAAAAAAAATTTTTTTCTAATACCTTTGTTTATTTAACCTCACTGTCACCATGTATAACAGAAGTTTATTATCAGTATTATTATCACCCTGTATAAATAAGTATATATATTTGCGATTGTACAGCTTTGAAAATGAATTCGCCGAAAAGAGAACTCTTCGCTGAACTAATCTTTCTTTCTTATTTAATGTCATAATGGGTGTATTCCGTTTATTAAAAAATTCCAAGGACCCTTCGACAGTAAAGGAACTTAATGAGTTTCTGCGTTTTTCTGTCAAACTTGCGGAAGTGAATGCGAAGATTACCTTTCTTAACGATTGCGTTAAAATGCACAAATATCCTAAATACTACTGGAAAATTCTCCGAAGAAACCATATTTATCCAAACTCGAAATCTCTTAAACGCCATGCACAAAATGTTATTGACTCTATTCGTCCTCGCATTCCGTTATTGGAATTCAACATTTCACAAAGATCTCCTGTATTATATGAATTATCACCTAACGAACACAATCTTTTCACCGATTATGTTACCACAGTTATCAACAAACGCACAAAAAACTTAATATCAGATCTCACTAAAAGTTTAAAAACTACAGAAACACAGCACAACTTTCCTAACAACCCTGAGAGATATGTGTTTAATCATTCTTCAATATCGTTGACAAATGTACAATTAGAAGCCTTATCTTTGGGGATAAAATTCTGCGACATAAATGAAAAAGTGAACAAAATCAACACACATGTTCAATTCGAAAACTTAATCAAACAAACAAATGGTCTTAATCCAATCTCTGATCAAGAATTCCAACGTTTCAAATCTACTCTTCTTGACAGCTGCAACCAATATATTAGCACAAAAGTAACTGGCAAAAGTCTACTAACAAGAGAACATAGAAATCAGATTAAATTACTTAGAAATAATAAAGACTTGATCATAACACGTCCAGATAAAGGTGCTGGTTTAGTGCTGCTAGATCGCAAGGATTATGTTGAAAAAATGGCAACGTTGTTATCAGATGACACCAAATTCTCAAAACCCAACAATGAGAAAAACAAGACTGAAATTATAGAAAAGCAACTAATTGACGTCCTTAAGAAAATGAAAAAAGAGCAGTTAATCAACGAACAGGTATTTGAGCACATAAGACCAACAGCATCGATAATACCGCGATTATACGGTTTGCCCAAAATACACAAATCTGGCCTACCTCTTAGACCGATTCTCGATATGTCTGGATCCCCTTACCACCCTATAGCAAAGTGGTTGGCGAATCTCTTAGAACCCGTTAGAAAACTCATTTGTAAACATTCTGTACGCGATACTTTTGAATTTATCGAGCACATAAAAGAGGTGAATGTAAGTGGCAAAATTATGCTATCTCTGGATGTGGAATCATTATTCACTAATGTCCCACTTACAGAAACCATTAATTTTATCTGCAAGTACATAAACAATACTGAGATAAACATTGGGATACCTGAGGTTTATTTGAAGGAATTATTACTACGTTGTACTTGCAATGTACAGTTCACATTCAACGACGTAATTTATAGACAGAAGGATGGTATAGCAATGGGATCCCCACTTGGTCCATTACTGGCAGATTGCTTCATGGCCAGTTTAGAAAACAACCAACTTAAAAGAATTATAGAAAGCCTCCACTTATATAAAAGGTATATGGATGATATCTTTATCATTTGTGATAACAAATGTAACTTAATTGATCTCCTAAATACATTTAATAATTGTCACCCATCAATAAAATTCACAATTGAAGTTGAAAACAAACAAAATATTCACTTCCTTGATGTAGATATAACAAGGAAACAAGATGGTACTTTAAAAAGATCTATCTACAGAAAACCCATATGGAATGGCCAACTATCAAATTTCCACAGTTGGGTTCCCATCAGCCGAAAAAGAAACTTAATAATCACTCTCGCCACAAGAATACGAAGAATCTGTAGCCCTGAGGTCGTAGAGGAAGAATTGAGTTTTTTAAAAGAGATACTTATCAAAAACGGATATCCTTCTATATTCGTTGATAAGAACATGAAACCGAAAATGCCAAGACCACAAACCACTGCAGTAGAAAAGAAAATTCTATACATGAACATCGACTTCAAAGGCGATAGAGCCGCACATATCTTAAAAAGGAGAATTTCAGATTCTTTAAAAAGAACATTTTTCGCAGCAACATTGCGAATATTATTCTCCAGCCGATCATTGTTCGCCAGTAATCTGAAAGATAAATTATCGCATCTGACCAATTCAATGTGCATTTACCAATTTACCTGCTCTTGTGGAGCTAGGTATATAGGTCGTTCGATGCGTACTTTATCCAAAAGAATTCAAGAACATTGTCCGGCGTGGCTAAGAAGAGGAGGCAGCGGTTCAATAAGAAGTTCTATAATCGAACACCTTGTGAACACAGGTCACTCAATCAAGACAGACTCTGCGTTCAAAGTCATCTACAAGGTAAGTAGAAGCCTTCCTAAGATAATTAGACTACATCTCCTTTGCATTGCCGAGGCAATAGCCATACATTTTGAAAAACCAGAATTATGTGTACAAAAGAGACTGGCACAACCTCTTCTTTTACCGTGGTCTTAATGTATTAAAATTTTTTTCTCTTTTTTCTCTTTCTCATTACTCTTGGTCTTTTACAGCCACCTGCTTCACCTTCCATCTTCCCTTCAAATCTTGTACCCCCAACCGGTTTGTTTTTATTTCAACGATCATTCCGATTACATTTCATCTCTGTTTCAACATTTTATGTTATTTTATCATGCTGAGCTACTCTTACCCGATGACTATCTAAGCCATTATCTATTAAACTTTCCTTGTTTTTAAAAAAAGAAAAAAAATTTTTTTCTAATACCTTTGTTTATTTAACCTCACTGTCACCATGTATAACAGAAGTTTATTATCAGTATTATTATCACCCTGTATAAATAAGTATATATATTTGCGATTGTACAGCTTTGAAAATGAATTCGCCGAAAAGAGAACTCTTCGCTGAACTAATCTTTCTTTCTTATTTAAAGTTGCTTTTAGCAGATCTGGAGTAACGTTGACCGTTAGTCACTATAACTAAAAGCTATGTATACTTGTTATTCTCGAAAATTTACTGGATATAAAATTTTTATTAAAAATATTGTCTCTATTTACCGACATATTCACTTTCTTAAATTGGTCTCAAAACACGAATTATATATTAATATTAGTTGTTATATATATATGGATTTACTGATTGACATAAATCAACATAATAAATTGTTTGTAATAATATTTGATAACCTCGCTAGCCTGTGTTACTATATAAATATTTAACAGTGCTTTATTGTAAACATTAAGATAGTTTACTTCACTAATCAGCATAATGCTTATGAGTCACTCGATCAATTTCTGTGTTACATTAATCAGTAAATCTGGTTCATGAATAATAATAGCGATAAATCAAGAAATGATGACTAGGAATTACGATTTTTTCAACACATTCACTTACCAATATGACGATGCGTTTCAAAAACACTGCATAAAGCCGGTGGGATTGAAATTATATCGATCAGAGAAGAAAAACTGAGAACAAAACGAACCCGATCAGTAGCTGCACACAGCTAAATCAGATTAATTTGTTTTAGGAAAGCAAATAAATATTTTATTTAATTACAAATGTACACCACTCATATTATTACGAAATTTTTTTACAAAATAAGTTTTATTTGTAAAATACAAAAAGTTATTTTCCCATAGCTGTTCTGGCTTTTGTTTCATACTGAATAGTAAACAGTTTAACCACTGAAATAATTTGATTCTGTTGAATGGAATTAGGGTATATCACCTTCTACTCTGAAGTACGTGACTTGTGACTCGAAGTTACAGTCCAATTATTTGGAAGTTGGGTTAGCTAACAAATAACCCGTTACTTCTGTCCAACTGTCTTTAAAGTATGTTAAAACAGATTGAATACAGTGGAACTAAATTCGAGGAGCAATGTTTATATTTTCAAAACGGATAAGTGCTATGTCGGAAAAATCTCTACAGATTATATGTTTTATGAAAAATAGTAAGTGGCTGGTGTGACAACAGCCACCACCTTCGTCCTCATGTCAGTTGTACAACCTATAAATATGATTAAGTTTTATTCCGTTTCTAGCGTTAAAGTTTTTCATCCAGCTTAGGTTTCTGTCTTTGCATTGCCAGTTTGCCAACCTTTAAGAATATGATCGTGATAATGTCGGATCACGGAACACAATAACCAGTTATCGTTTAATGCTGAAACAGTAAGTATAATAATGCTTAACCGAAGTTTTGTTATGTTAGTTATCATAAGTTACCCTAGTAGATTGGTATGAACGATATAAAGAACAACAAATCGTTCATGATATTAAAAAATAACGTTTTCATAACCTAATCAAATTTCACACTGTTATCTTTTTCACATAAAATAGAGCCGTTTAAATATCAAAAATGATAATTTCCTAGGTTTGTTATACACTTTATCGATTGGTAATGTCTTGTAACAAGCCCTTATAATGTTATGAACAGATGAAATGTGCATCAAATACGTGTCATTGCATTTATATTAGTTATTTTACCGTAACTCTTAATTTATTATGTAAATATTTCTATGTATTTGTGGTGTCCATGTCGATCATTTATTTCCATCTATTGTCCTATTGGTTGCAAATGCACTCAATCAGTGGTTTCTGACACACATATGCCTCATATTCATAGACGAGTACATTCTTTTCCTTTGGTTGGTCTGACTGTTATATTCTTGACCTGCTGAGCCAGTACACTCGTAATAAATCAACTGCAATCTAATTTTTATCTAGCTTACGAATGTCACTAGTTGAAATAAGTCTAACTGTGCATCCTAGTTTATTCTAAATAAAAATACGAAGTGAACCAGTGCCATTTAATGTCAGAGTCAGAAGACATTAATTTATAAGCTTATAGTATGAAGAAAATTACAACATTATATAATACTCTTCATAAGTGTACCTGTAGATGTTTGGTGCACACTAGCAACATCAACTAGTAAATCATCCAGCATGCGAATGCCTTTCTTAAACTTAATCCAAATATCCACATTCCATTAACACAATGTACACGAAAAATGCACTCGATACTTGGCTTAATTATGGATCACTTTTATCACCTGTCTATAGCTCTATACGTAGGTTGGGACTCGTCATTCATTAGGATCCTAAACACCAAGTTTCAATTCAGATTTTTACATCAAACCAGTCATGCATCACTGTCTTACGCTACAGTTGATTCTTGAAATGTAGTTATGACTCCACAGTTAGGGAACAAATAATTACTTCAATAGGGTTGAATTTTTCAGGCTTAAAATCAAGAAACCTATTGATTGATACTGATGAGTCAAATGTGCTTTAAACAGAATAAAAGCATGGATACCACTAAAAAGGCTTTTTTCTAATTTAGAATCTTAGATCATAACTATATTTTAAGGAATTGTGCATCTGAGAACAGCCAATACCGCCCGTTAAAAACTTCTCATTGTCTAGGAATTCCAAAATGAAAGTTTACTTCTTACCGATATAATTAATCTGAAGGTTTTTCAATCAAGATCTGTACGGTAGTTAACGTTTTGTTTTTTACTGAATTATTTTTATTATGATTGTAATTATAGTTACTATTTATCTATCAGTTCACAAATAACAGACATGTAAACGATATTGCATAAAATAGGGTGTGGGTCTACTGTACCAGTAAGACATGTATATCGAAATAGGTTTGTAGAATTAGGAGCATTATTCATAACCAATTTAGTTTTTAATATTGAATAGGATCCCCAGTTATAGATTAGCTTATTATTATTTACCTTTAAAATATAATAACCCAAGCAGAACAAATTGATACCAAAATTGATCCAACTGAGGATTTTCGAACGTAATGTATGGCATATACCACGTATACTCACAGGAGGATTACTGAAATTAAAAATGAATTGTTTACACAAATCCATTTAAAAGTTTGTAGTAAAACGGATGATAAATTTACATTTTTTTGTTATTAAATGTAGTACATTGAATACTAGATGTTTGTTCAACTTCCAGCCCCATCAGAAAATAACATTTCTTTTACACCGCTATTCTAAAATGACAAATCAACCTCTTTGCTTATTACCATGAGTATAACCACATTAAATTGAATGAAGAATTTATATGCAGCTGATTTTATCGGGGTATTTGGCTCAAATGCATACAGTAGCTAAGTATTTTTACAAATTCGGCTTGATAATCGATAAATGACGTAATAAATAACCAATCCATGAAAGCTCAATATAAACCCAATGCACTCGAGGTTTCTTATTAAATTTTAGTTTTATGTCTAAGTGATCACTGGCCGATCAAATTTTTATATTCATAAAGCCTGTTTACTTTTTTTAAACACAACCTAAATCAAGACCACACAATGGTGTGACTTTAGATTTTAAAATAAACATTATTAAAAGCAATGAATGATTAGTTAAAAAGAGGCTTTATTTACAGTTTATTTTCGGAAATAATCTTGATTTGCTGACATTTGACAATCTGATGATGTGTGTTAAGTTAATACTGTCAACTAATAAAATATTTTAATTAGTCAGAGTAAGATAGCATTTTTATTATATGTTGCTTACTCATTAATACAGTAGTTTCTTTTTATATTATGTGAGTTATGATTAAAAATTCTTGACTAAGTCTTGTATCTCACTTTTAACTTACGAAAATATAGAAATGTATGAAATTCGAACCTTTTCAAAAGACCGTTTTTGAATGTTTTAGTATAGAAACTGGTGTTGTAACGCACAGTAGTAGTGATCTTAAAAATAACCTTTTCATTCAATGATATATGTTTGGTTAAACTAAAATCACTTAGCTTAAATTATTAAAAATTACATCAGGTCCCTTTTGTATGCATTTTTACTGTATAGATTTAAGGAGCAGTCTTTTCAGTGATGATAACTTACTTACGCCTGTTACTCCTCGTGAAGGAGCATAGGCCGCTCACCAGCATTTTCCATACAACTCTGTCCTGGGCAATCCTTTCCGGCTCCTTCCAGTTCCTTTTCATCCTTTTCATATCTGCTTCTATTTCCCGACGTAATGTGTTCTTTGGACTTCCACTTCTCCGTTTCCCTTCATGACTGCAAGTTGGGCCTTGCCTCGTGATGCAGTTTGATGAGCTGCGTAATGTATGTCCTATCCATTTCCATCGTCTTTTCCGAATTTCCTCTTCAACTGCAAGCTGGTTTCTTCTCTCCCATAGAAGGCTGTTGCTGATGGTATCCGGCCAATAGATGTTGATTATCTTGCGTAGACAACCATTTATAAATACTTATACCTTCTTGATGATAGTTATAGTAGTTCTCCAAGTTTCAGCTCCGTACAGTAGAACTGCCTTGACGTTTCTATTTCAGTGATGATTAACAGTTACTTATTTTTTTACTACGGGCGTATTTTCAAGGTTGCTTTACTGCATAAATTACATCTCTAATAAAGCTTTACAGAACATTCTAAATGCGTTTTACATGAATGTTTTCTGACGTTATTGTGTCACATTTTACGAAATAGTATACAAGAAAAGACTCATAATAATTTGATTCCATCACTTGAGTTTTGTAGTATTTATCACCATGATGGGTAATGTGTTCTACAAAAGCGCTTGAGTTTAAAATACTGTCGACAAACATGTTTGGTTGGTTAAAACGTGACGTAAAAAAATGGAGTTCAGTATTTGTGTATTTGAAAATCAGGTAATGGAGAGATTTGGGTAGGCTGACTTGTCGTTCAGATAGTTCGTATTGTAAAATAAATCAATGTTTTTATGCAAGAGATCGAAGAGACAAGCAACTCAATGTTAAGATGACTTATGAAGTTGAAGTGAATGAATATAAATATTGCAAGTATAGGGATCTGTGGAGAGTGTTTAATCTTCATGGGTTACATCACAGACTTATGTCACGCCTATTAGATAGTAGATGGTGAGCAATGACTAAGTCGATAGGAGTAGAGGTGGCATATATGAAATTTATTTTTTTCAAAGTTCTATGACCTGTAAATTTTCTGGAGTAATTATATGACGTAGTCAGTTATGTCTGTTAGTCATAAATGCTTAATTCTATGGTAAATGTGTGTTCACAGATGAAGTTATTATTAAATTGGTCTTAAACACCACTCTTTTTAATTTATACAAATCTAGCTGTTAACCCTACTGTAAATATATCATATAGAAGGTTTATTCATACATCATTTTGATTTGTTTTGGAGGTTAAACAAATTTGTATCACCAATCTTTCTGTTCTTACTAAGTGTCTTTGGATTCTGGGTTTTAATGCCAAACACAGGTCGGTGAAGTATTCAGCAGACACATAGAAAATGACACATAACAACTAGGAGTCCCATACCATGACGAAACAGCTGTCCAGTGCTTCTTGATTTTTAGTGGTTATTTAACCCAGATTACCTCGTGAAGCAAACAACGTAAATATTTTTCCCAAAACGATTAACTATAAAATTGCAAAAACTTATTCACTTTCCTATCCAATATTTTCTACTTACTTTGCGCTTAATTTCTATGATGACATTGATTGAAACCCTGACAAATGTTCACATAATTCATCAAATGATCGTTATCTTGTAACTAAGACATTATACCGGCATCATGCGTTTTTTTAAAAAATGATTACTAATATCATTCGAATGAGCCCCTTAAATTTCTCCGTAAACTAATGACTAATCACATGATTGCGATATCAAGTGGACTGATTTTTCACATCCAGATAATCATCGCTTATCATAATCAAGTTCATAAAAGAAGTAATTTGGAGGCCGTCCCAACCTGATAAACGTTAAAATATTGGTGTACTCAACAAATTTATTTAGATTCGTTTCCTCAACAAACAGTTTCAGAAGAAGAAGTAATAGATCAATCGGGCTTTTTTTAATCTCTCACAGCAAATATTTTCCAAACAATCTTGGTAATCTTTTGTATAAATTATTTGAGAATCACAGCTTTATTTTGTTATATCATTTCCTACTCCTGTCAGTATTATGTTTCAGATAAAAATCATCAGAAGGTTTGGTTGTATATACATCTTTATGAAGGTAGCAATTCGATTTATAAATACCTTATCCGGTAGCTCATAAAGCTGATCGTTATCAGAGGCACTTTACAGTGGGTGTAAGAACAAACCACCAGTAGTTCAATGTGAGTCTACACAAAAATCACTTTGTTTATCACGATGAATATTTGAAGTTCGAATACTACTAAATATTTGCCTCCACAACGATCAGAAGAGTAACTTGATTTTTGAGAAAAAATTGGACAAAATTTCGATCATGTACCTCGAACGACAGATCAATTTATATGTAACAAAAAGTTTGTTGACTTATATTCACATTTTAAGTGGGGCCATTTTTCGATATGATGACTCCTGTTTTAAAACTGACAAATTCACAAACAAAATCAAATGTTAATGTACACATAATGTTCTACATTTTAAACTAACTTTCTATTTTCAACTACATAAAATAGCCAGGAGACCGTACTGAGAACAATATAGATAGTTAACTGAAAAAGTAAGAAGAAAACAGACACAATTCAAAATAACACTTTAAAAACTAACAAGTGTAAATGATTTTTATATAAAAAGTTAAATGTATGGAAAAAAGCATCTGATTGTTTCTCAAATTACACATTTCTGCTTATAGTTGAAGCTAATCAAAAAGAATAATTAGTGTCACCAAAAGTCATTAGGATTGCTTTTTTGAAATATAAGTTTTATTGTTTATGAATCAATTAACTGGTAATTATTAGATCATAAAGTTGGATAATGGATTACACGTAAAAAGCATTTTTCGACCAAATATGTAAATAGTCAACAACCTGTACAGTAATTTTACCATGACCAGTCTAATGAGGACAATGTTGACAAAGAACTGAACGAAACTTATATAACTAATTTTCTACAATTATCTCAATAATTAAAAAAAACGATGTATTAAGTATGAGGTCTGAACTTCAACAAGTATTTTTCTAAACATCATTAAAATTTAAAGTTAAATCTCTTTTTTGTAGACATATTCATATAGATTCCATCCTAAATCCCTTCACGTCTCTAACTTATATTTTATGAGAAGTAAAACTTTGAGATTCATTCACTTTTCTGATTCATAATCATTTACTTATGTAAGAAGTCAGTGACATGTACTATAGTCCCGTTTTTTCATTTAATATAAAGTTGATATAATTAAGAATTCAATGAAATGAATAGAAAGCAAATCTTCATAGAGAAGCGATAACTAATTGAATTTTGTTAAACCTTTCCTGATATTTGAGAAATACTGATATAAATACTTATATTCGATGAACAGTAAAGACGTTGATAAATTGAATTAGGAACGAGCAAAATATTCAGAAAAGGATTTTAATTTCTCTTTCTTGATTCACTCAAGTGAGCTTTCATTATAATTTGATTTCAACTGAATATAATTCTTTTAGTTGTGCTGATAGAAATATGGCTTTAGTGGCATTAAATATTTCTGTATCCGTACATTCGCATTATCATAACATGATTTAACAATTTTTAAAAAACAACAATAAATACCAAGCTAACCATGAGAAGTCACTTGAACTCTGCCTTGGGAGTTGAAGGGTCTTCTAACAGAAGAATTATGACACCCCATGGTGAAAGCCGAAACTCTTAGAAAGCCACAAGGCCGATACCCAATACCCATCCTGACAACCAGAGCAATAGTTAACATAAGTACTTGGAACGTTCGGACAATGTAAGAAACCGGGAGATCCAGTCAAATTGTTAAGGAAATTAGGAGATAAGACTTGGCGCTTCTCCGATTAAGTGAGACCCATTGGACACAAACTGGACAGAAAAGATTAGATTCGGGAGAGGTGTTGTTGCATTCTAGCATGAAGAAGGAAATGTTTTTCACACACAACGAGTTGTACTGATCCGATCCAAAGAAGCAGGAAAAGCACTCAGAATGGGGATCTCATAGATCCAGGGTCATCAAAGCATTCTTCAAAACGAAGGAAGAGAGGATCGCATAGAGTGTTGTGCTGTGCTATGCACCTAACAATGAAAGCAATGACGACGATAAACATGCAATGTTTAGCTTGCATGCAAATAGACGATTTGAAATTCTCAGATGACCTGGCCATTCTATCCCATACGTACGAACAGATGCAGATGAAGACAACCATTGTATCAGCAGCCTCTGCAGCAGTAGGCCTCAACCTACACAAGGGGAAAAACAAGATCCTCAAATCCAATACGGAGAACACCAACGCAATCGCATTTGATGGAGAAGCTCTGAAAGGGGTGGAAACTTTCACATACCTGGTCAGTAGCATCATCGATAAACAAGGAAGACTCGATGCAGATGTTAAGTCACGGATTACCAAGATAGAGCGACATTCCCACAGTTGAAGAATATATAGAACTCAGAAAACTGTCAGCTAACGAACATCCAAACAGTCTTACTGTACGGAGCTGAAACTTGGAGAACAACTAGAACCACCATCAGAAATGTACAGGTATTTATAAACAATTGTCTAAGAAACATATTCAAAGTATATTGGCCGTAAACTATCAGCAACAGCCTACTGTGGGAGAGAACAAACCAACTTCCAGTTGGAGAGGAAATTAGGTAAAGACGTTGGAGGTCAGTAGGACATACAGTACGGAAATCATAAAACTACATCAGGAGACAAGGCCCAACTTGCAGTCATGAAGGGAAACGGAGAAGTGGAAGTCCAAAGAACATATTATCCCGAACATAGGAAGCAGATATCAAAAGGATGCATAAGAACTGGAAAAGATTACCCAGGACAGAGTTGGATGGAGAATGCTGGTGGGCGACCTATGCTTCTCCATGATGGGTAGCAGTAGTAAGTCAATTAATTTGAAATGGGTATGAAATGAATTATCCCACTTTTAGATCGGTTCGAGTGATTCCTCAGAACTCCTTGAATTTTGATTACCTTCCAGTTGGCATTAGTTTGTCATCAAAATACTTTCCAACCTTACTATATTTTTTGATATATTTATGTAACAAAACAAAGGCAGAGTGAATGAAAAGTTAGGAAGTGAGGTAAATTTTACAAGGTAACTGAACGACTTAGTAATGTACACAAAACCATTTGTCCGCGATTCGCTCCTAATATTTCTACTGCAATATTTCTTTATACATTTTATCCAAAGTCATAGGTTAGGGTAACCTCTCCAATTACTCTCAGTTTTGGCTAAACAGAAATTAAATACTAGTCTGTTAGAAACGGAGCGTTTATACAATCTGAAAGTAACACATAGCTAAGGAGCAGTTCAGTGTAATTCATTTAATTTATTAACAGTGTTGACCTCATTTACAACTAGGTAGCTGACACTACCAGTTAGAAGAAATTAAACTTGTAGAAGTTCTATGAGTGGTTAGAAACTGGATTTAGGAAGGTAAAAAATATAAACTTTTAAATACACCATAAGGCATATATCATTCTGAAAGTGATTCGGTTCAACATACATGGTGAAGTCTAACTTTCTCTGCTTCATTCTATAATCACATATAACTTACTATTGTACTACCAGTCTTATTTGAATTCCACTCGTTAACTTCTTAGTTGGTTAGTTAATTTTCATACTGATCTAATAATCAATGTTTTTCAAATCCGTGACTTTGGGTTGAAATTTAAACAAAGCATTTTATCAATGATACAAACTTGCTGTCCATTTTACTCTACAATCAGTTATGTTAATCGAGAATATTCCTGTATCTGTAAAATAGGGTACAGTTCTTTTGGGTTGTATATTATTTATCATACACTTGAAAGAATAGTTCTGAATTCATTATGTATTCTTTCAGTGATAATTAAAAAAAGAGTGTAAAAAGGTTTTAGATTAACTTTATTTTCATCATTTATCTACACCATCCACTAAATATCATCATATTGATATCTCTTATAAGTAAAAACATCACCTTCATCGCAGTGTCAAAACAATGCAATATTATTTTAATCATAAAAGTAGTTTAGGACTGCGTTTGTTTCAATCATAAAAATAAAGTCATTATCGAAACATAAATACGACTGGAAAGTAATAAGCTATATTTTACCTTGTCAAATTACGTTATTATTATTGTTATCATTATTATTGTGTTGTCTTAACTAATAAATATTACTGAACTATTCTAACGTCAATCAAACAAAGTGAATGATGAATAGTAAATAAATATCTCAAGAATTTTAGATTACTCGTAACTGTGAAAAATTTCGTCGATTTAATTTCCAACATACAGTGAACTTTTCCGATCACTTATTGACAGAATAAAGATACAATTTTTTTCTTTTACGTTGGACGAGCTTCGTAAACTGGTTAATCTTAATAATGTTTAAGACAAATTGCTCTTCACTGGACTGAAATTTTTATCTCATTTATCAAAATATGAATAGAAAAATTAAAAACAATAGTTCAGGTATTTTCTAAAATAGTTCCTCTCATCTTATGTACATAAATATGAGACTGAATGTAACATCCTACAAATCAATTTCTCACTGTATATGTTTAAACATACTTTAAAAAACCGATTGTTCATTTGGAATGCTATGGATAACTTTCATAAATAACCGTCAAACATTTATTCATAAGTGAAATACCAGTGTAACTTTAAAATATAGCCGAAACCGAAAGGCTGATAAAATGATATAACGAATCTTTTGAAACTGAAAAGCCACTGCGTGCTTAGACAATACAAATTAGGAATATACTGATAAAATGCAAATAATCTAAAAGCTGTAGAACATTTCTACCTAATTCATAAGTCTTGTGTCCGAAGAAGACTAAATTAGGAGCGACTTTTGGGAACTATTTATGAACTGTTATTATATATATATATATATATATATATATATATATATATATATTCTTATTGTATAACTATTCGGTAACTAGATTATATATATATTCATCTTTCTCTTATTCTGAACTTTCACTTGACCTATTGACTACAATTATGCCATTTGCTATTCTTAAGTTATTCCCAATCTATTAGTTACTGTCTCTCACACTCACACCCACTTTTAGCTTGATCTTGTATAGTAATTATTTCTTATTTTATGGCGTGGTGCGGTCAGATCTGCTTGTGTATAAACCAAGTAAAGTCTGAAATATACGATTGGTACAGTGGAAGCTGAGATTGTGTTCTAGACTTAAACGAGAAGAGATAGGTGAGAAGAACCAATAAGGACTCAGAGTTGACTCTAGGCTGATCATACTGGTTAACGGATCGTTGATTTGGCACTTGACTAAGTAATAAGTCGGTGTTCTGATTGGCGATCCTGTCATGTTATGTTTTGATGGGGCTTAGGATGTAACAATGAGTTATTCCAAGTTTATAACCGCTGTTTTATTCATTAAAACCCTCATAGTTTATAGGCGACTATGTACGTCTCTGTTGTTTGTGTGAACATTCGTTAATGAATGACCCATTGCAAGTTAATAATACGAACTATTCACTATTGATTTAGTTGGATAGGAGTAATAATTATATTATCACAATACA